GAACCTCCGTAGTTTAAAATAAATCATTCTTTACCAAAATTCGAATCCAGCTTTAAACGCTCAAATTCACGTAAACTATCTGTTCATTTTCGCAATGCCCTCCGACTAGTAAACACTGATTACTCCCACTCCGAACCACTCATAAACCGGACTAGTCCGATTTTAAGGTATAAACCCCAGATCCCAGAGAATTCAGTCTTGTTCACTGCGAGTTTCCGAAACTATTTTTTGAGCCGTGCGTCAATAAAATAACTTTATTTAGTTCACCGTCCGTGCGAAAACTGTGGTATGAATTATTATTAATCATTTGACTTGCTATAAAAAAATTTATTTTGTTGCTCTCTTGATCGACGGTCGTCGTGTTGATTATTAGAAAAGAAATAATTTTTATACCCCGAGAAATGTTTCCCAGTTTTGTATTGTGTACCGTCTTGCGATTTCTGAAGTTTCGTAAGAGAGGCCAGGAAAGTGATCTCACAGACTGGTTTTAACGACTAAATTTCTCAAAGTTTCGTAATCCGAGGAAATTAATTTTCAAATTTAGTACGGAATACCGTTCTGGTATTTCTGAAGTTTCGTAAGAGAAGCGAAGCCAGTGATTTCACAGACTTGTTTCAATGACTAAATTTCTCAACATTCAAGGTATCCCGAGTCAATAGACCCTCAACCAATCCGTTTATCAGTTAACCTTCAATTCGCTCCAGACCGTCGACCAGGAAACAACGTTGTTCTCTTTTCTGTCACTGTATCAACCGCATTAAGCCGTATTCCTTTGAAAATAATCCTTTAAACGGAAACCGACATTTAAAATAGCTGCATCTTAGTCAAGTTTAATATTTCCGATAAACCGATGGAAGGTAATGCCGATTGAAATAGATTATTTTAGAATGACAATAATTGTATTCAAACTAATAATTTTGTAAATATTTCGTTACTTTAATATTATACTGTTGATTAACTTTTATTAGGAACAGCATGAGTATAACCGTATCATTGAATTATTGTATTTATTCAATGTATTACTTAAAATTCCAGTACTAAGTTTATTATTTTCTTTATTTCCACAAAGCTTAAAGTTTGTAAACCTTCTCATTAGGTTAATTATCCTGCTAATATCTTGGATGTTTCAGCGCTGATTGGAAATACCGTGGGTATTGCGATATTATTGATTTATATTTATTTTTTTTTTTTTTTGTAAACCTTTTTCATTAAGATAATTAGAGCTTTTCACCGCTTATTAGGAATATCCGTATTTACTGATTTAGATTTATATTATTGTTGTGCCTCCGATTGTAAATAAAGAATAAAAATTATTTGGATTTCGTATTGCTCTACCATGGTTACCATTTAAAATATAATATTCTATTTGTAAACTTCATATGTATCTCTTAACTATTCCCCACACTTTATCTCTCTTCCAAGATTACCTTTAAGGTAAAAGGTACAAGGAAGAGATAACAAGGAGATGTAACTACTAACAAATATCGTGCGGCCCTGAATAAGACATATTCTAAGGGACACAGACGGGTATAATATCCGCTGTTGTCATATGCCTATTTTGCCTATTCAACCCAAATTTTTTTTAATATTTAACTAAATTAGATGTAATAATTTTCAATAAATTCCAAAACCTAGTGATGTTAGATTGGAAGTGGCAACAGGGCTTACACCGGCATGGAAATTTACGTTGTGTATTACAAGCGGACAGCGGCTTACACATTTATTCATTGATAAAACTGTGTAAAATCCTTCTCTTTATCCCGTCTCTTACTTCTCACCTTTCGTCGCCTCGCCTCACGTTTTGAAATAGAATATATCGATTTTCGAATTAATGTTGGCATCGTAAATATTATATTTTATCAATGACTGCTTATATCTCTGATACAAGGCGATTTCACCGTTTAGGTTGAGTAAGGTAGGTATTAGCGGTGTTAAGGTTCTTTCAGTTACTACCCCATTTATAACTGACTGCCTGGAATTTAATCGCCTCCAATGGGACTAATTTGAGTGTACTCGGGGTCGCTGAGCCAACTGCATTATCAAAACTGTCACCTGGGCAGCCCTTATTCTTAACAGCCTGGCGCCACCCATTTCACCAGACTTGTCACAAGTTATACAGTATTCCCATTAAAAATTTACCCTTAGTGAAAGATGAACTAGATACATTTCTTTTTTCAGGAAGCATTTTTTCTAATCGGTTTTCAAGGGAAATTAAAAGTAATTTTGGTGAAATTTACAAATATCAGCTGATTTTGAGCGCTCGCCATTCCCTTAATTGTCGAGCTCTCGACTTTAACAAACAACTAATGTAAAGCGTATTTATTCAGGCATACTACGGTTTTCAAAATATTTTAATACAATCATCTGTTCGGCCCATGGCGCTTGCGAAATGAAAGCAGTGCAAAACATGGGAGTGTAACCTTCAGTGACAAGACATGCCTCTCTTCGGGACACTCTAGAGAGGGTAAACTATAAATACTGAGGCACTAGGGAGTAAGATAGTAAGGTGCACCAATAGTTTGTTTTAATTTAATTAGCTTCCTAAGAAGATGAAAGGCTGTTATTCAGTTACCTTTAAGTCAGAACTTTTTAAGTATTTAAGATATCAGTGCCAGTAAATTGTCTTTTAAATATTTTATTTTATACGATATAGTAACTTTTCGAACATATTCCAATCTCATATTGGTCGTATATTTTTATATTTATATAATAGATTATGGCAGAAATATAATTTATATTAAAATATTTGTAAATTCGAATAAGCTATTCAATAAAGATTTATTTTTATATATTAGAAAACTATACCAGAAAACAGGTATTATCCAAACAAAGAATTTTTAGTCAAAACAACATAAAATTTTCTAAAACAGCTTCTGGTATAGCCTGGGCATCTGTACTAAATAAAAATGACCATTTAAATGAATTTTACAAACTCATGACGGTCATTTAATCGCACTTGTCCTATCAAGTGTACAAAAAATAAGATGTGGTTTATTAAATGTTTAAAACTATCAGTGAAAAATATGCATTCCCTCCAAGGGGTCAATTCTCGACTTGTAGGAACCTTTTCCTATAGGAATTTGTGACACTTTCCTATATGTAGGAAAATGTCATAAATTTTCGATGTATATAAAAATGTCAAAAATTCCTATAGGAAAATATTCCTACGAGTCGAGAATCGACCCCCAATAATAAAAAAAATGCCGACAAAAATAAATGGTTCTTAAACTATTTTAATAAGTGTCGAGCTATCTACAGAGCAACTTTCAAAGCTGCTAAAGAAACTTGGACAATTGCAAATAATTTAAAAGGAAAAAGCAATAATACAAACTCCAGGGATAGATTTATGTCCTGATAATCTAAATATATTATTCTGCTCTGTCGCTCCTGACTTATCTAGTCGTTTATTGTATACAGCTGATCCTATGAGATTTTCAAACTATTTTACTGTTACTGAATTCTTTTATTTCAGTCCCACTGATCTCGAAAAAAATCAAAGACACTATTATTAGTATTAACAACAAAAATGCAGCTGGATGGGATGGTATCTCAGCTAAAATATTTATGCTTTTACCTGACAATGTTGTCTGTGCTGGAGCTATAAATGTATCTTTCACATTAGACACTTTCATCAATTGTTTAAAATTTGCGAATTTAACCTATACTTAAGAATGGGGATTGTAATTAGTGCTCTAATTACAGACCAATATTCTTGCTTCCAACCCTGGCCAAAACTGTAAAAAAATTGGTAAAAACACACGTATTTAAAAAATCAACATCTACTTCTTTCTTCAAATCACTTTGGTTTTCAATCACCTATTTGAATTTTTGGAAAAATTATATCTCCCTTTAAATGAGAAATATGTGTGATTTATCTAAAGCTTTTGATTGGAAAGTCATGGAATACTATTAAATAAACTAGAAAGATATGGTCTTAAAACTTCAGATGGTGTACCACAGAGTTCTGTTCTTGGTCCTGTGTTGTTTTTATTATGTCAATGATATGGCTAGCATTGCAATTAATGGTCACTTTACAATCTTAGCAGATGGCACGACCATACTGTTGCCCAGTAAATCCATTGATGCATTATCTAGGAATATATCTAAATATATCTTTAATAAAAGAGTGATGTAGTTCGAATTCAACCTTTGGATATTTTGCAGGATAAGAGTTTTTTCACATTAGACTAGCTTTAGTGCAACTTTATAAAAAATCGATTTGTTTTTCAAAAAAACATCCTTAAAAATATGCAAAGCAGATAGCCTGGGAACAAACAAAAGGGGGCCATCAGGACAATTTTCAGCTTTAAACTAATTTTTCACAGGTAAATCTAATCTTAATCTATAAGCAATCCTTATATAAAAAATGCATAATAATGAAATTTTTTTAAATGTTATATTAAACAAAAATAGAGAGATAAATAAATACTACAAAACAGTTTCAAGTTTCTTAAACGTTCTCATCTAAAATAAAAATAATCCTATAAATAGAAAATTGAAATATATTTCTAAATAAAAAATTAAAAACAACTTCATTATAAAACTAATAAGACTTTTTTTCTGGTACCTAATACACATATGAACAGTGTTGCCAGGGTGTAATTGAAGAATCCTCTACATAAATTGAAAAATTCCGCTACACGCTTCAGTCTCTGGTCATATTTCATATAACTTACGTCAAATTCCGCTTTTTAAGGTAATTTGAGCTACCGCTGCTAAACCGCTACCTTGATAAAATACGCTACGAGTAGCGGAATCTGCGGAATTCCGCTGTCTGACAACACTATCTAGAAGTTGCATTGTTGCCATATTTTATGACAACACGCTGCGCATCACAAATAATGTGTGTAACCCCTGTACAAAAATTTGGATTAAAAATAAAAAATTTCTTTTCCCAAAAGTAAACCTATAATATTTTTCACGTACTACTGTGTCAAGAGTACAATAATATAACTTACCTTTTTAAAATACCAACAACTTTATTAAAAACTAATAATTACCTTTTTGGCACTTCCTTTTGTTGGAGTCTTAACAACGTTTAGCACTTTACTAATTTTCTTCTTTTTTGGCGTAGATTCGGTAGAATTTTGCCCAGAACTTATAGCTTTGCGTTTCGTTTTCTTTGGAATGGGTTTCTTATCTTCAATACTGTCCCCAATAATTTTCGTAGGCTGTTCAGGTTTCGGCATGTCCGTATTCGAACTGTCCTCTATTTTCGGAGCAATTTCTTTGATCTCTTTGTCGTCCGTAATTGGGATGATGGAATCGTCGAGTTTTAAAAGAGAATCTTCATTTTTGGAGTCGTCAAGATCCAAAGAGTAAGTTTTAATCGGCTCACTCGAGTCTTGTATACCTGAAAATTGTATAAATTTTAATATATGAATAATTTTTCACATTATGTGCTTTTTTACCAGCAAACATTTCTTCCAGTTTATTTTCCACCTCCACGAAATGTGTACTCTCCTTTTTAGCAGCAGGGGTTACTATAGGAACTGTAGGTGCAACAATATTATCTGATAACAGCTCAGTAAGATTTTCTTTAGTTTTTATCACGCTGACAGATACCGGTTTGGTTTGGTTATCATTAATAAGTTCCTCTTTACTCTGTACCATAGTTTTTTGTTTTTGTTCTTTTTCTTTTAGTCCTTCTTGAACCATAGCTGCAATATCATCTATGGTCTCAGATTCTGAGGAAGTTTTACGTCTAGCTTTAGCTGGTATCAATTCCTCCAAGTCATTAACTGATTCTTCTTTGTCAGGATTCTTACTATCCTCCAGCATTTCACCCATTATGCTAATCGGATCCTTCTCAATTACAGGCTCGGGGGTCTTGTCTTTAATAGGCGCGTCTACAGTATCAATGGAAGCTGCTGGGTCTTCCATTTTCTCATCATCCTTGGATACCCTAATGGTTTTGCTCGGTTTGCGCTTCCTTCTAGATTTTGTACTATCCAAACTATCCTCATTGCTGTTAGTTGATACAGTATCATCATCTTTGAGATTAGGCGCATTGAGAATACTACTTGAATTGCTATTGTCATCAAAAGTACTAGTCGGCTGAACAATTACGCCCGTGTGGGCAACTGGTTCAACTTTTTCTTCCACAGGTTTTGATATTTTTTCCTCCATTCGGTTTTCTTGAATTATAACTAACTTATCTGGTGCTGATTGAGGATTGAGCCTTTCTAATATAGAATCTACCCTTACATTGGATCTTTTCTGCTGAGTTTTGACAATATCTACAGTAGTGGAAGATGGTAAACCTTGAATGCCTAGAGACGATTTTAAACTGGGACTTGCAGGTTTCAAAATGGGACTTGCTGATTTAGGTATAGGACTGCCTGACTTAAATCCAGTGTTAGACACTATATTCTGATTAATAGATCTACTAGTCACAAGTAAGCTAGAGCTAGGAGAGAAGATACTTGATGTGGTAGAAATTGCAGACAAAAGACCAGGGCTATTAGATTTATGAAGACCTGGACTTGACGATTTTAACCCAGGACTTGATGATTTTAACCCAGGACTTGATGATTTTAACCCAGGACTTGACGATTTTAACCCAGGGCTTGTAGACCTTATTGCTGGACTCGCAGGCTTTCCAACAGGACTTGTACTCTTTGTTAATTCTACAGCTTGTATTTCTAAAGCACTAGGAGGCAGACTATTTATTTTATTAGTGTCTCTAACACTTAAACTAATTGGAGCAGTAGGCATTTCACCATTCTGGTTGCCATTTCTGGCTAGGCTCAGATCGACACAGTCTCTTGGGAATAATGATTCATTCTTAAACATTTCACTGAGAACATGAGGTGGAGGATGAATTTTAAGGTTGTCTGTAGTTGGGGTATGCCAAGTTGGCTGATGCAGTAAGGAATGTTCATTTGACATGTGTGCTAGCTGAGGCTGCCTTGGAAAGAAGTTTGGAATCTAAGGAAAAAAATATATATAATAGTCATAACTTCAATATTGTAATACTCATAACTTCATTATTGTAATACTCATAACTTCAATATTGTAATACTCATAACTTAAATACTGTAATACTCATAGCTTCAAAAAGATTGGACCATCAAATTATGAATAGGGTGAACCGTCCGGTTATTGACCACGTCCCAGTAAATGAACAATATTTACTGATTTATGATTTATTAAGAATTTTTAATAACCTAAGGCATCATAGTATACAACAAATTGATCCTCACCTAATTTTCAATTTTTTTATACATTTGACAACACTGCTCATAATCGGCAGTTTACAAATGTCAGTTATAAGTGCATGTGTTTTTGTTTCCTTCTCAAGTAACCACAAGTAATTAAGGTAAGTGTTTTTTATATTGTAAAAAATATGTATTGGAGTCGTAAAACTGTTATGTTATTTGGACTAAACTGCATGAAACAAGATCAAATTTAGTATTTTTTAGGCTGTAATCCTAATATAACCTTAAAAAGCATTTATTTTTTAAATGGTCAATAATAGGTAATGCTAAAGCTGAAAAATTCAGTGAATGACCAAATGTGGTCATTTACCAAGTTGGTGGGAACATTAAAATAATTTGTTTTGATAATGTACTTTAATCACTAGATGGATGCTTCTTTTATGCAAGCATTGTAAATAATGAGGGAATCGACCACTCTTATTATCTAAATGCTCTTCTGGTCATTCACTGGATATTTAGCCTAGTCAATGACTTTTTTCTGTTTATGTATTAAAATATTATTTGTGCAATAAAGCAATTGTGTAACATTTATTTTCAGATAACAGAAGCACCCAATAGAGCATATACAAGATTTAAGTATTCCATTGAAGATTTAAAAGCTGCAGTGACAGAAGTCCAAGAAGGAAGAATTAGTGCTACTAAAGCCAGTAAACAATTTAAAATTCCAAAAGGCACTTTAATTAATAAACTGCATGGAAAATCCGATGTTTCAGTAAGAAAGATGGGCCCACCAAGAATCTTGACTGCTCAGGAAGAAGATATGTTGGAGAATTGGATAATCCAAAAAGCAAAAATTGGGTTGGAAGGTAATGGAAGAAACCCAGCGTCCTAATCCATTCAACAACAACCGTCCCGGTGATAAATGGTTAAATGGATTTTTAAAAGTAAAGCCAGATATTGGGAAAAGAAATGCTGAAATTATTTCCAAAGCTAGAGCTAACGTCACTGAGCAAGATATCAGAAAGTGGTTTCAGGATCTTAAAAGTTATTTAATAGAGGAAGATGCTGTTGATGTTCTTGAAGATGCTGATCGGGTCTATAATACTGATGAGACTGGAGTGAAATTATGCCCCAAAACAGGAAAAGAGTGCCTGACTGTATTAGCAAATTTTTCTGCTAGTGGAAAAGTAGCTCCAACACTTATAATATATCCATACAAAAGAATACCTAGAGACATTGCTAACTCTATCCCTGATAATTTTTATATTGGTCGAAGTGATACAGGTTGGATAGTTGGTCCTACATTTTTTGAGTATGTGGCGAATAATTTCTATCCATGGCTGTTAGATAATAGCATAAAATTGCCTGTTCTCTTTCTGCTAGATGGACATAAGTCACATATCAGTCCTCAACTAGCCATTTTTTGCCGAGAAAAAAGAATTATTTTATATTGTCTATTATCAAATGCTACACACATATTACAGCCATGTGATGTTGGTATCTTTAGACCTCTAAAAGTATCCTGGAGGAAGCAGTGTCAGAAATATAAACAAGAAAATCTCAAACCAAAGTATCTTGTGCACCTATTTTTGCACAAGCATTTAAAAATGCCAGTAAAATTGAAAGCATACAAAACACCTTCAGGGCATGTGGCATATTTCCATTTAATGCAAATAATGTTGATTTTTCAAAATGTATGGATACTCGTCAGGCAGCACTAAAAGAAGATAATAATTCAATAATGTAGAGAGTAATCAGAGTGGAATTGATAAAACGAAATTTTTAAAAATTCTTGAAAGTGAAATTTCCACAGAGAAGGGAGAAAAGCACAAAAAGTTTTAAATAATGATAAATTATTTAAATTATGGAAAAAATATGCAGAAAATCAAGACAACCCCAATGAAGAAAATGGCGAGAATTATATTGCATTAGAAGACGAAAGAGAAAATATGAAAAATAATGTTCTAATAATGATGCACACAGAAACTGATTATTATCAGGAAGATGAAGAAATTAGAAATGTAGATGATATAAATAAAGAAAATCAAGAAAGTGCCCCGGAGATTACCCAAAAAATGAAAATATATGTGAACAAATTGAGGAAGAAATGGAATATGTAGAAAACCAAGACAAAACTCAAAATAAAAGCATCCAAATTGAAAATCAAAATGAGTCAAAAGAAACACAATTGGATTTAAATTTTAGCTCAAAAAAATCTCTTAAAGTCCAAGATTCCTGGAAGGAACACTTACACTTTCCAAAGTTGGAAATTGCCACTAAAAAAAGTGTTAAAGAAAAAGCCCATTTGGCAATAACTTCCAAATATTGGAAAGAATATCATGGGAAGAAAGAAGAACAAAAAAGAATTGCTGAAGAATTAAAAGAGCAAAGAAAAAAAATTTAGAGAGGAAAAAAACGTAGACGTGAAAAATTAAACAAAAATAAAGAAAATAGACCAAAAAAGTTAAAGAGAAGAGAATCTTCTTCAAGTTCAAGTGATTCGAATATTTCAGATGAAGAATCTTTAGAAGAAATTAAACAAGAAAACCAGGATGAAAATGAAATCAATGAATCTATGCCACCAACTACATTTACCATTGCTGATTTCGTGATTGTTAAATATGAGAACAGTTATTTTTTGGTGTTGTTATACGAAAACAAAGAGGAGAATATGAAGTGCGAGTCATGTGTAAAAGTGCACAAAATTGGAAATGGCCAGAAAAAAATGACCAAATATGGTATAAAGAAGAGGATGTCATTGAAAAGATTGAACCACCAATGCTGATATGTAGTTGAGGAAATGTGTATTCAGTTCCTGAAATGGAAAATTATGAAACACTACTTTAATTTTTTTAAACTAAGTATTTATGTTTTCTTTTAGAAAATAAAGTAGTTTTGTAGTCATTTACTGGTATTTTATTTGGTCATTTACTTAAAGAAACTGGTCATTTACTAGGATTTTATGCATTATATCTTAAAAATTATTGAATATTTTAAACAAATAAACATGTTTACATTTTTATGTTAAAAAAGTTAAATTAGTAAACAAATTCATCCAGCTATTCCTTGCTTTTTCTTTTAAAAACAAAACAATAAATTTTTACAAATATGTATATATCACTGTTGCCTAAAGTGGTCATTAACTGGATGGTTCACCCTAGATCCACTACATTTTGACCAACTGATATCTACAAAATTTCTGTATATGATAATTTTGAATAATTAGTGGTTTTAAACAATCAAAAGTGTTAATTTCTTGAGTAAATAGACAAATTTAATATATGTTTTAATTATTTATCTTTCTGTATATTTACTTTTTCTTTTTTTTGGTAATTTTAACAAATTCTTTAATAATGTACTATGAGAATACCAAAGATGACACTACAAAACATATTGCTACTTTATGCAGCAAGACTTACATCATTTAATTCAAAATCTGCTGCTTTAAACAGTGGAAATTGCAAATTACTCAGATTCTAAGACTTTTGTCTATGTGGCAACAGTGCACCATTAGCTTCTATAGTACGACAGATATAGCTGAAGCCGCCAAGGTCATAATGCACAGTAAATAGATGACCAGAAGTCAGTTAGTTCCAGTTTTTCAAGGTGATCACTTGGATATTAATACATTAGACTCCAAGTTGTGAATATTGAGACGTTGCCAAATCTTAGTGCGGCAAAATCACCTACTGATAATCTTAAATGAGCCAAACAAAGTCGTTTATAGAATAAATATCTAGTTTTTATAGAATACATAAATGACATTATTTTATTTAAGTGATTTTAGGCATTAAAATATATTCCTAAAGTAAATAAATATAAATAGACAGGTACGTTTTGAGTAAAAGAATTCTAATATTGTTTTTTAAAAATGTAATAGTTAAAATTAAATTTTATTTAAAAATGTTGGTCTTGATATTAGATGACATAAATTTGGAATTATGTAATAAATGCTCTGCTGGTCAAAACGTCGTGGGCCTCCCTGTACATATAAAAGATTTAATAAGATGTTAAATTGTAACAAATAAAAATACAAAAATTCATAACTATTACCTGCAAACGATGATTCCAAGCAGCATTAAGATTTGCTCCCGGAACTTGCCGGTTATGTGGATGATGTGGTGGTCCACCTGACATCTTTGTAGAAAATCTTTACTTGACTGGTAAGTAGTTTTCAGCCTTCAGAACCCCATAGTTCAATCAGGTTGCATATCTATAGAAAAACCAAAGTAATAAGACTAGAAATTCACATACTATCCTGTACCTTCTTTAAAATTTGGGTGAAAAAATCAATTTTAACTGACATATCACATTTGATATAGATCAGTGGAGTGTCTCTTTTGAGAGGGAGAGAAATATTCATACTTAAATATACTTTTTAACTATTTTTTATTCAAGTTTTCATTCAAGTTCATGTTCAGCATGTTCAAAAACCTCTGAACTTAAATCACAAACACAAATCATAAATAAAAATTAACTTTTTTTTAAATAATGGGTCTATACAAAATGTGTTAAAACAATGGCAAAAAAGGCAGCAGAGCACCTAGGAAATTTTAAGTTGAAACCTATGCCATATTTTTAGGCTACTTTATTACCCTATTCAAAAATTTTATGGTCGTTCTTTTACAAAAATCAAGATGCTCTGCTACCTTCTGGATGGGTCTCAGTGGACCATGCCATACCATAAGTCTAAACGATATTCTTTTATTCATAAAAAAAAACTATATAAAACAATATTTAGGGTTAAACCATTTTTATGTAGATCCTTTATTATTAAATACTAAAAAAAATTCAGGTGAAATCTTAAAGTAGGTAAATAAAACTATTTTTGTAAGTACTACCCATAGTTGTAATTTAATAATATTGGTGATTTATTTGAGTCAGACAAATTAATATTAATATGAATTTTGCTTCTCATTTTATTATTATAATAGAGGACCCATTAAATAATAAATATGCCTATATGTGTAGTAATAAATGAGTGATTCACAGATAATTATTGTAGGTACACAGATCTTAAGATTAGAATTTATTATCTTTCTCCTTATAAAAGGAATTAAACTGGATTAATTAAAAGAAAGAAGTATTATATAATTATGCAATATCTTTTTGTTTTGTAGAGTACAAAAATTCTTTAAAAACTACTGTAAATATGTAAGTAAATTAATAGTTTGTTTACATTAGTAATGAGTTAAAGAAATATACCTGTCAACACAATAAGTGAAAATCTCTTTCAAAAATCTATTAATTAAGTAGAACTCAACATATTTTTGTTGAATGAGGATATCAAAGCAAACAATATGTACCTACTTTTTAGGAACATTTAATTGGTTTAAGATTCAATTTACAATTCAAAAACAAATAATTTAACGCCGCTTGGATATTATAATTAATAATTAAATTTAAAATCCAAAAATAAAAGGTATAAGTAGGTACCTATTACAGCACCTATAATTTTGGTTAGTAATTTCAGAATTTAACAAGAAAGTAAAAAAGTCCATATGTCATCCTATTAATTGATATTGTTCATAGTTCTCAAGTGATAATTATTAAGTAGGTATATCGAAATTTCGGAAAATCTAGATCATACCTTAACATTATAATGCATTTTGTGAAAACAGAAAATTGTAAATTAAAAACAACCTTAAATAAATACACAATTAGGTTTGACACGTTTAAAATTTTTAAAAATTAATTTCTAATAATAGGTATAAATACTTTATGTCGATGCAGGACATGCTGGTAAAATTAAAAATCCTTATTCAATGTGTACAAAAAAACTGTAGAATTGTAGCCATTTATGAGGATGAATCGATGTTGAAAAAAATATCAAAACACTTCACAACAGCAAACGCAATGAGGATAATAATCTTGTTTTTCAATGAAGAATACACTCCAATCATATGAACGCACCTCTAAAATACGCCGTTTTTATCCATTCTCTACAAATATTTGATAAATATTTGAGGCACGGCCATAAAAGCAACCGAACGTAACAATGGCGGACCCGGTTTTAATTTTTAAACATCAGCGCCATCTTTCAAAGAATCCAAAATCCAATATTTTAAACTAATTTGAATTTTAAAAATAATACAATGATTAATTTAGTAATATCTAATAATATATATACTTTATTAAACATTTTTGGCCACATATAACTTTTAATTTACTATACCTATGTATTTATGACATTTTAATTATTCTAAAAAAATGTCAACTAAATTTATTTTGTTCATCATAAGTACTTTGAAATACTTCAAATACTTACATTTATTGCAGCTTGAAATGTTTATATTATTTCTTTAAATCAGAGTATTTTTCAAATTGAAAATATTTGAATAATTTCTTATCTTTCCCGCTTTACATTTTACTTAGCGAGTACCAACATAATAATATCATTCAATTAGTCAATTTTTAACGTTAAATTTAGTGACGTAATAATTGTTCTCGCATATATATGCTTTGACATTACTTTATGACATTTGTCATAATTTTGACATTTAATTTACATTTACATAAATAAATATGGCTACACAAGGAGTTCGAGGAGTTTCTAGGGTTTTAGAAAAGCTAGAAAAATCTGTTAAAGATGGAAATTTTTACGAGGCACATCAGATGTATAGGACATTGTATTTCAGGTAGGAGCAAACTATTTTTATAAATTGTACCATAGTAATGTTGAGACTTTCTAAACATAACCTAATTTTTACAGATATTTAAGCCAGAAAAAATATAAAGAATTAAAGGATATGCTATATAATGGTGCCGTTTTATTCCTAGAACGTGATCAGGTAGTGTATACGTCAATAGCATAAATTTCCAGTGTTTTTACTTTGTTTTTCAGCAATTGAGTGGTTCTGACTTGGGCATCCTATTAGTAGATGTATTAGAAAAATCGGAAGATTTTAATTGCGAATTGTGGTGTAGTAAGTTGACAAAAATATTCCGGCAAATAAGTTCTTCCACTTCAGAACGTGATACATTTCTAGCACGTGCAATACGTTGGTCTTCTAAAGGATCATCCCATGGTCATCCTCTACTACATCAGGTAAGTTTATAACCGTGTTATTGTTGTGTTTTTTAATCGTAGATTACTTTGCAGAGCATAGCATTGGTGTACTGGGAAGAAAAGAACTATACCCAAGCACGTCATCATTTTATTTATTCACAAGATGGTAAAAGTTGTGCCTGGTTGTTAATAGAATTTCAGAGGAGTCAAGGTTTCAAAGATGAAGCTGATCTTTTTATAGCACAAACAGTTTTGCAATATCTATGTCTAAAAAATAAAATCACAGCAAATCAAACATTTACTAGTTACACAGAACAGCACCCTAGAATATTGAAGTCTGGCCCTCCATATTTGCTGCCTTTGCTCAACTTTATATGGTTTTTGTTACAAGCGATTGAGAGGTAATTTATAAAATGTATTTACATCTAATAAACCTCTGATAATAATTGCATTACCTATTATGATTAACATACATAAAAAATTAAGCAATAATATTAGCAATTTCTAAATGCTTCATCTTTTCTTACTTTTTTCTGTCTTATCATTATTGACCTTATTGCTGAATCTTATCCAAATTGTTCTTGTTTTTCTTAAAATTTTCAATGAGATATTTTTAGTGAATAATTATAATTAGCTTGATTTTGTTAAATCAAATTCAAAATTTAAAATATTTTATAAAATAATTATTATTTATTTGCAGCCAAAAAATCCAAACCTTTGCTGTTTTATGTGAACAATATGAACCTTCTCTTAAAAGAGACCCTTGTTTCATCCAGTACCTGGACAAAATAGGTCAGATTTTCTTTGGTTTGAAACCTCCACAACCGCAGCAACATGCTGGGGGCTTCTTTGGTAATTTTTTGGAGAACTTTATTAATGGGTTAGACGAAGATAGTGAGGATGAAGCACCTCAAGCATCAACTTCTGGTACTTCAAGAAAGAAAACTGTTATAGAGCATGATCAGTTGGACTAGTATGTATTTTTAAAAAAATGTGAGTGTAATTGATAAAACCGTTGATCAATTGACTTTTTAATATTTCCACCAGTGAACAGTGAATAAAAGGTTGTAAGAGAGTGAAATAACATTAATGTTTTTTTAATAATATTTAATAAACCTTTCATAAATAAGAACTAACAAGTGTTTTAATAAAAAAATTGATCAACAGTTTGCATTTGTAAAATACTGCAATGACAGGTTTTTTATTGGGATAAGTTAATTAAATTTTTGGTTTTTGTAAATTATTAATTATAATTACCTCTAAAATGTGTGAATGAAAACTATCTAATTAGCATTCAATATTTTTATTTACTAGAAAAAAAGGTTATTAGTAAAATAAATTCCATATAGTTATATTATCTGCTAAATAAATAAAAATGTCTTTGTCCACAACATAGGTCCGTTCTTAAATAAAATATATTTTTTTAATATACATTTTTTGTTTAAAAATGAGAAATGTCATGTATCTGTGGAATAACAAAACCCCTTTCTACAATACAATTATTTTAATCCTATGTGGTAGGGGTTTGTGAATTTTAAACATGTTTTACTTCCAAAAATACAAGTCATTGTTTGTTTTTAAACAAAAAATCAAATATGATATATTCCATTCACATGTCAGTGAGTAACTAGTTTTGGCATATAATGCAAACAGAAATATCTTAATTTATCTTGACAATATGAAAAATAAACATGTAATTGGCTTATAAATATTACTGATTAATTTGGTATTGCATTTTTGTACTGATGTACCTAACTAATTAAATTTTTTTTTTAACAAAATGAAAAATGTATATTTAATTGGAAATAAAAGTTTACACCAATAGTTTAGATTCAGAAACTTTCATCTTAAGTGAGAATAAAATAGTGAAACGTAATTTTAATACTCTATGTTCTGTTCTACAGGGTAATTTTTTTCATAGAAAAACTATTGCTATCTCAGAATCCATTATTTTGCTATTTTTGACAATGTCAAATGTTTTTAACACATTTAAAATTTCATGCTTGAATTGTTTATACACTATAATAGGATTATGCAAGTTTTCTATATTTCTGATTTTTTCACAAAATATGGCTTTACATAAAAAATTATTAGAATCTAAAATTTAAATAAACTTTTGAAGTGGAAGATCAAAGACTATCACTAATAGAAAATTATGTTTTGAACTGAATAATAGGACATTGAATAATGTCTTAATTAGAAACTTTTATACAAATACCAAATGCTTTATTTTAAATTATTAAATAATTGTTTAATTTATGTTATATTTTAGGGAAAATAATGATAAATATACATACGTAACTTTACTATTCATTTAAAAAGGTACCTAATGATTTATTTAAAAATATGGTTTTATGGTTGATACAATTCATGATTATCTCATATTTCTTTGTTTATAATAATGTAATAAAACAGGTAAAAACTTAATTTGTTTTATTTTATTGGTCACAAGCGTTCTGGTCCAATGATGATGCCTTAAGAGCAAACCGAACATCTTGTGAAAGCAAAAATGTTTTAAGAATTTTCTATTTTAAAACTGTCTTTATATGTGCGCCAGTAGGATTACTTCATGATATTATGTGTCTTGAGAATATTGGGAACTTTAAATTTGTTCAACGATAAGGCAGCACTCTACAGACCAAACATTTAAGAATAAAAGGTGGGAAATCTTCCCATTTAAAAACTACTAGATATTTATTACAACAAAAAGCGGCAAATTTTCATAAAATTAATACAGAATGGCCCGTAAATGTTTTTTTTATTCCTTTAAAAAATATTCAAAATAAATACTTTTCAAAGAATTACAAAAAATTCAAGGTTTCTCCACTCTGTTTTGTTATTAATGGTTCAGAAGGAATTATAAATTTATAAAGTTTGCTTTTAAGTAGGTTTATAACTATTACATATTTAGGTGAAGGTGCCCACCCCTCTCTGGCAACAAATATTTAAATATACAATCACAATTTTATTTAAAAATATTTTATAGTTTATATAGATTGACTTGAAAATATAATAATAATTATAGTCTGTTGCAATTTATAGTAGACAATCGTCTCGCTTTAAACATGAAGGAAGGTTGTGTGTTAGCCGGAACAGGGACGGTGCCCCCAAATGGACTTTAAAAATTAATGTTTTCTGTTTGGGGAACAAACATGATAATAATATATCGTAAGAATGTAAGATTTTTTTAGTTTTCCTAAAGACCCTAACCTCTTAGCAAGAGGAAAGATAAATTTAATATAAAAAACCTTTCCCGCAAGATTCGTGCCAAAAATCCCAGAAACCAATTTTACAGCGAAAGTAACGCGTAAAGATACATGAAATTAGTCATTTTATATTTTTTAATATTTTTATGATCCGAATCTTAATAAACATCTTTTGTATTAAACATTTTGTTGTAGCTGTTATAATAAATGCGTTACAGAGAAAATAAGCACTCCCCTCTCCCTAATGTGAGTCAGGCTATGAGTGACGTTATGCGCATGGCCGACGAAAACTGAAAACGGGAGCATCCGGCCCTGGGTAGTATTGGTGTGGAATTTACCTAATAACTTAGTTTAGCTTCAAAGTTTATGAGATTTGGTCGACGTTTCGGTACTATATAGTGAACATGAGTGAAGTAGTTAATGTTCAACAGTGTTCTTTCGAAATAAATTTGGACGAACAGGAAAACAGAAACGTTGTCATGCACCTTTCTAGTGATGCGAAGGAAATAGTTCTAAACGTTTATTCTGGTGAGTAATTATAATAACTATTCCCATAATATTAATCTAGGAAAAAAAGCCAGTGAAAAACATTTTGTGCATGTAACATTATTAGACGGAGAGAGCTGGCGACACAAAGACTCGGTAAAGTAAAAATTTTGTTATTTACAGTTTCGATTGTTACCAACATAGCGAGAGGCGGGCAGTCAGAAGTCACCCTGGAAGTATAAAGTAAGGGTAGGGGGTTAAACATACAATTTTTTCGCAAAATAAGTGATAAGGTACAGCTCTGAAAATTTGCAGTATTATCGGAGATAGTATAAGAAAGTAGGGAAAAAATTGCCTGCCAGAAGTCTAGGTGGAAGAGCAGAAGGCGCTCATGTTGTGAAAAATTTAGCAACATTGATGTCACTAGGTACACTTCTGATGACCAAATTTTCGCAAATTTTTAATGCGATTTATTCAAATTATTAATGAAAAACTACTTAAAACGCAGTTTTTAGTGAAAAGTGAAAATTCTTTTAATTTTTACTAAAACAAATTCAGAAAATTACAGTTTTTAATCAAACACAATTGTTCAATTTGGATGAGATATACTCAGTAGTAAACTTTGGGGCGCTCTTGCGTTAAAACTATTCATTTTACACATAAATTGTAGGAAATTGTCTATAGTTTAATAGGTAATATATTCAAAAAACTGTTTTTGGTCGCGAGCGGCAAAGATACGAGGCCGCAAGGTGGAAAATCGAAAACAACACGTCAAAATCTATAAAAATGCTAATTTTCTAAATATATTGGATTTTAACACTGAGTCTTATTTACAGGTCTAAAAAATGAATTGTCTTCCTCCGAAGCCCTAAAAGAGACGGTTTTTTTGACAAAAGTACTACAGTCAACTGTATACAAAATTTTACAGGAAGGAGCACCACCTAGAAAGGTGCGACAAGATTCTGGTTCATCTCGTTTCATTCCACAGTTTCTTTTAGAACCGATTAGGGAAACAATTTATGAAATGTTCTCTATAAATAATTTTCCTCTTTTGAACACGTTATTTTTACGTCTAAAACAAAAAACGCTAATAGAGGACTGCCATAAAACGACATGGATATTTTTAAAATCCAACGGCTTTAAATTTAAAACCATTAATAAAATACAATTATGGAATCCAGCCGTTTAGTTAAATGGAGAATAGAATATCTCGATTTAATTACAAAGTATCGACGAGAGGGCAGAAACATTCATTTTTTAGATGAAACCTGCTTCGACACTGACATCATAAAAAAATGTTGGACTGATGGAAGTTTAAAATGTAATGTAGACACTCCTCCAACTCGAGGAAAAAGAATATGCATTTTATATTGTGGTGGAGAATCAGGTTGGGTAGAAGGAGCTCTCTTGCTGTCTGCAAAGGATGTACGGGATAGTAGTTTGGACTACCACCAGGACATAGAAAGTACTCTTTTTGAAAGATGGTTTGAGAGTACATTACTACCAAAACTAAATGAAAATAGCATAGTAGTTTTAGATAATGCCCCGTACCATTCTCGGTTGGTACGAAAAAAAACCAAATACCAATTCTACGAAATCAGTGATGGAGAATGATATATTTTTTGAAGAAAACTACACAAAAAAACAGTTAATAGAACTTTTACACTTTGTTGATTTTCAACCTGAATATGTTATCGACACCATAGCAATAAAACACGAATTTAAAGTTTTACGTTTATCACCCTACCACTGTATTTGAACCCCATAGAATTATTATGGTCACAGTTAAAAAATTATTCTCGAGCAAATATAACTCTTCTCCTAAAAGTCCACTTCTTCTGTAATTGATGTAGTAAGAAATGCATTTAACTGTTGAAAACTGGGAAAACGCTATTCAACATTTTAAAAAATCGAAGAGAATTATATGAGATTTAACAATACAATTCAAAAAATTTAAATAAATTTGGATGTTTCTGATGATGATAGTGATATTATTTCAGAACATGAAATTAGTGACTGTGAAAATGATTTAGAAATATAGACGTTTTTAAATTAATTTACCTACATTTCCACAAAATAAATCTAGTAAAACATATTCTTTTTAAATTAATACTTAATAATTTTAGTCAGTTTCAATTTTCAATATATTTTTTAGTTGAACATGTGTTTGGAAATAAAACCTTTATTTTTTTTTATTTTAATACAAGTTCTCAGTGTGTTACATTTTTTATGTATTTTAAATGTTATTAAAAATCCTATGTACATATTGTAAATAAAGTATTTTTGAAATGAATGTTATATTTTTTACAGTGAATTTAAACCGCAAAAGGATCTTTGTCGAAATAAAATTTTAAAAATTATCTTAAACATTTGAACAAATAACACTCAACCTAAGCCGGCTCTGATCAGCATGTTGGCAAACGATTCAAGAGGTTGCCAGCATTGCGCTTTCTAGATTATCTTGCAACGGACTATAATCAAATATCTCAATGCCAGGCTCAATTCCATATAATTTTTACATTTTGCGTAGTTATAATTGTAAAAAAACTATAGATAGTGTTTTTCAGAGGAGTTTTTGTTTTTAGCTGTGAATAAAATAAACTTTTGTTCTAGTGTTTAGTTAATGATTTATGAACCTAGACCTCGTCCAATTAAACAATCTGAAGTTTAATACAAATACCCAATTATTGCTTTTTGTTTTCCCAATCAAACTACGCCACTGGGAATTTTCTACGTTTATGAACAGAGTCCTTTCCAAAACAAACAACATGAAATTCCATGTTTGAAACATCCCTTATACCTTACTATTGAATACAAATATGAGTGCTCATACGAATAACGCAAAACTCGAGCATAAAAAGCGCAACTTTATTACCAGCATTTTAAAATTACAAAATAGAGAATAAGGGTTTATGATAATTTACAAGTAATCACTCTATATTCAATACGTTCTGACATATAAATTTTTATTAAAAGTGTATTTGTCTGTTTTAAGTATCAACAATTCGTTATTTATAAGAGTAAAAAGAAAAAATATAAAATGTCATTACCAGTCGCCTTTGCAGGTAAAAATCGCAAAAAAATGGAGGGCGGAATAAAATCCCAACACAAACAAAAAGCGCAAAAGTTGCGCTTTTTGCGCCTAATTGGCAACACTGGTAGTGTTCTATACAGGGCTGACGAGAGGGGGGACTGGCGGGACAAATTCCCGGGAACAAGGGGGGCCCGGCAGCTTTAGATGAGGACGTTTTATTTGTTTAAAAGTTCGCCACAAAACATACAATGAAAATGTCTAAGATCATTCAAAAATATTTTTATTGTAAATAATAAACATATAAGTGCAATTAAACAAAATAAATTTAAATCATGTTTTTACTGATACTTGCGGTTTATAAATTAGTGACATATTGAGGAGATTAACATTATTTCAATGATACAAAAATGTTGAAATTGCTATTTGACAGAACTAATAGATTCTCTATTCACTTTTTTTGGGTAAATTTTAGAGTAAATACTGACATTTAATGACATCAAAAGTAAACTTACATATTTATTTTCAATTTTAATTTCTATCATAGTTATAAAAAATGTGATTGTTGAAATTGAATATTTACCTACTCGGTCAAAAATTGTGGTTTGTCATTCATTAGACCATCCATGGTTAAGCAGAAAATGTATGGATTTCATTTAATAGACGTAATAACAAAATTATTCTAATGAAGCTTATTTAAAATGTAATTCTTTCTCTGTGCTTCAGATAATTTTGTAAACTCATTCCAAATGACATGAACAGGTTTATAACCAATTTTTCTTAATTGTCTGTCTTTCATCAATGAATGTCCTAAAAGAGCTGAACCATTATGGATTGTGTTATTCCAACCTAATATTACTATTGCAAACCATTCTAGAGAACTATTGTTAACTGGAAACATTACATCTCCTAATACATAATTTTCAAATCCAGTTGGTTCTATAAACTCACCAGTTTTCTTGTTTCTACATAGAACAATATCTGCTCTTGTAAAATGCGGCAAAATATGATTAATATACATGAGTTTTTCATTTTTAACAATACCCTTAACAGCATCAATTGCACTTAAAACCAGTTGATCTGCCTTTGTTAATTTTTTCCACTGATCATGAGTAGGTGTCCAATCTAATAACCACTTAACAGATTTATATTTTCTAGCAGGTGGTAAACGATTTCCACTATAATCTGGACACTCAATATCTATACAGGTGTTTAAAGAAAATATTTCTCTAGGTACTGATCTGGTTCCCTTGCCAAAATTTTTGTCAATATATTCTATATCCAAAACTTTATTAAGAAACTCGTAAGAATAGATATTTTGCAAACTAAGATAATTCAAAGTACATATTAAGGATCTAGGATAATCATTCAACTCATCTTGTCTTTTGTGCAGCTCATCTAATGCTGCTTTATATATATTTGGTGTTGTTTTTGGGTCATAGTTGAACATCACCAAGGCATTTAATAATCTTTCTATATCTTTGATACGAATTAAGCTATCATTTGATATTTCCTTAATGAATTTATTTGAGATTTCTTGAAATATTCTTTCATTGTAAGAGTGTATCCCAGTACTCATCAATGCCAAATGAGTACAGCATGTATATGTTAACCTGTCAACTTCAGTACTTAGTTTGTCAGAAAGATCTACAATTTTTGAAAAGATTTTAATAGGTTGTGAATATCTTAAAACTTTTAAAATAGCTGATAAAGAAATTTGATGAATGTTCTTTGAATTTTCACTAACTTTATCAGCCATGGCTTCTAGAATAGAAGTAAGTTTGATTTTGGTTTTAGTTTTAAAATATCCCATAGCCACCACAGCCATTTCATCAACATCCATTTCATTTACCAATTTTTCTAATGCAAATTCATATTCAAAATCAACAGCCCTCCGTCGGCAAATATTTAAATAAAAATAAATATTGACTAATTGTTCTTTGGTTAATTTGTCAGCTTTCTTTACAAACCTATCAAGTAGAATATAAATATAATCACAGAACTTCCCTAAATGCATTTGATACCAAGCATCAGCAACGAGAAAACATGTATCATTGTCCCATTCAACTATCTTCCAACAACAAATGTCATCCAAACAGCTCCAAAGATCATGATAATTATGCGCTGAATAAGATGCTTCCAATGGAAACTCTGCAAGGCAATAAAGTAGACTAATAAGTTGTTTATCACTGATTTGTTCACAATTGTCGATTACCCCATCTACTAATTTTTCAAACCTGGTATCAGACACGTTGATATTATTTAAAACACAATAATTCTTGACTTTTAAGAAGGTATCAACAATATCTCCAATGCTAGATTTTCTCCAGTTTTGGTTTAACATATCATTGAACTGTTTTGTAGAAATTACATCAGAATCGACTGTTTTAATATGCTTCTTCATAGAAACTTTTTGTAAAACGTTATAGGCGTAAATATTCTCTTTGCCTGTGATGTTGGAGGGCAGAGAACCTTTTCCAACATAAGTTGAGTTAAGATTAAATTGATAAAATCTAGTGTTATTTAATTTTAAAATATTACTGCCATAAGTTAATCCAGTTTGATTCCACAAATCTTTGCTTTTAGGCTTAATACATCGAAAAATTTGCCTTAACATTTCCTTTCCTTAATTAAAAATATTAAAATAGAGTGCGGAATTCACGCTGAATTCAAAAAACTAACATAAACATAACCTCACAATAACATGCCATAAAAAATTACACATGACACTATTGACAAGACATTGACACAATCAAAATACGTTTTTTTATCGAAACAGATTCTTTTGTTCACGGTGCCAGTGTCCACCAGTGTAAATTACACCAACTTTATTTGAGTCTTCATATTCGTGACACTCGTGCTCCGTTTTCCCAACTTCAAATTCTAAAAAAAAATGTGTTCTGTAAATTCCAAAGATATCGGATAATAGATACGCCTTGTATACATTACACTTGTCCGCTACTTTTTTTTGACGGTACGCTCTTCCTATGTTGTCAGATCTCTTTCATCAAATATCAAACATTAAATTTTTATTTAAAAAGTTACTATTACCTTTAATACAATCTAATAAAAAAAGGAAATAAAGAATTGAAAGCATCAATATGAGTTTTCTATTAATTGCAATCACTTAAGACTTTTAAGTATCTATTTTTACATGTGTATCATATGGGAATATTAAACATTTTGGTATAAATCATTTAACTTTGGCAACCTAAGACATTTTGCTGATGTTGTCAAAGTGACAGATCAAGTTTTATTGTGATTTTTGTGGTTTTTTGTAGTTTTCAAGAATAATTTAAACCCTGAACTTTTTATTAAGGACTTTTACGATGGGGAGGAAATAAATAGTGTGCCGAAATACGCAGAATAAGAATGTTATTCGGTCATTTCATAAATAAGATTATGTTAGCATAGACGTAGGCATATACAGGGAATAAGGCTTAATTTATTTAACAGTGTAAAGGCATTTAGCACTAGCATTGTTTATTTAAATAATAATGTTCTATATTTTCTGATCAGGTTTCCTAGAGAAATTATTCAACGTAGAATTTGGCTGCAAAATCTATGCTTGGTGGAGAAAAACATTATGAAAATGAAAGAAGCCTTAGTATATGTTCTGACCATTTTTGTATGGCAGATATTTATGAAAATTTAAGTGGTAGACACATATTAAAACATAATGCTGTACCTATCAAGTAAGTACAGTATTTATTATGGGTATTTTTATTATATGTAAGCTCTAAAATTATACAGTAATCATCACATTTTACAGAATTTTGGGAGAGGTAGTTGAAGAGGCGAAAAATGAAAAAAAAAAAAAACACTTTTTTTTAGTGCAGTTCGTAACGGATGCTTCAATAACAATCTCACATGGAGATTGTTTCAAAATTGTTATAAAAAATTATTAATTCATAATGAAGTAAAGTCAAATAAAACTGCCAATGCAATTAATTGCTTTAGATGGCACCAGCATCTTCGATTGTAGCAACACTAGTAGCCAAATTGCGTTAAATTTAAAATGTTATGAATCAGACACTAAAGAAAATTTGGAATTTACAAATGAGCTTCGTGACCATGATTACCTATCATACATTCAGGATGTAGTTGCTTATATTTCTGGTTTTATAGTAAAATCCTTAAAGAAAAAGATTCACTACAAACAGTGTTCTGCAATTGAACCAGTGAGTTCGAAAACCGTACAAGTCTCAAATTTGACATTTCAAAATAAGCCATTTCGTTTAAAATTTGTCTCTTCATCAGGCGAGTTCGGATAGTCAGGGGCTGGAGCGGGACAAATTTTAGGGTGCTTTTCAATAACATTTAAGCGTGTTAAACCACAAAGCATGTATCTTCTAGAGACCCCACGCCAATGTTAAACTTTTAAACCAAATTAGCGCCACCTTGTGTTTGGAGCTGGAACTAAAATGACAATTGACAGATGGCGGTAAATTCAAATTGTAATTTTTAGGAGTAGGTAGTAGTTTTAAATTAAATTTTAATGATTTCCACATAAATTATTTTATAAAATAAAGTATGGAACTAGTAAGTTCGAAACTTTTATTTTACAAAATAATTTAGGTCGATTATACCAAATTTGAAGAATTAATTTGTTATAAGGCGTCTAATGTGGAGAGTTGGTTCTGCATATTTTTATTAAATAAATATAAGATATATCAATAAATAATAAAATAGAACATTCTTAAAATATGTTTATTAATAACTTAAATAAATTTTATTAGATAAAAATAAATACAAATAATAATACATATTTAACGAATACTTACTTGGAGCAAATAGATATATAATCTCAAATCTTTAAAATACCTATCAATAATTTAAATGTGAAGTAGAGACTATAGGATATTACATTTTATTAACACTAAAGTTATATATTTTATAAATGTCTTTTTAACTGAGGACAAATGTAATATAGGTATTGTATTAAAAGGTGAATCCTTTTAACTATTCATTCAATGATAAATAGGCATTTTCCTTCCAAATACAGATGGTGGCATGGAGGAAGGATTATTGATGGTGGTATTACTCTCTTATGTGAAAAATGATTTCGGAATCTAGTCGTGATAAATTGATTATCAATTAGTTGTTGTCCCCGTTTGTCTTTTTATGATGCAGATGCATGGTGAATATATGGTGAATCAATGAAGTTTTTCTCGAAGTTTTCAACGTAGCACCAAAATTTATTGCAAAACACAGTAGGAAATAAAAAAAGCGAAACATCACAATTTTGCAAATAACTAAGACGAAACTATAAACAGAAACCAAAAGCCAAAGCCAACAAAAAATCACTAAAATCAGACGGAAAAATGAAACTAACCAAGAACATAAATAAATATACACGTCACATCTTTGGAGTCTTTGGTTAAGTTTTTCTCCCATAAGGCTTAAAAATGGAATAAGAAATCATAATTTCACCAGTAGCCCCATCTAGAGTTTGGAGCAAATAACATAAATAATGTCAGTTGTCGGTTTTGACCTTGGTCATTCACGTGGAACCTCTATGTGCTTTGTGTGTTAAACCGTCACTAATCGGACTAAACCGAACGTTAAAAGGGTCGTTTGGAGTTAAAAGTGTTAAAGGAGTTAAAGGAACTTGGCAGACCGAACGCAATGATCGATGCACTATTTCAGTGATGATGTAATTATGGTTCCACTGACAATTAAAGTGACAGTAGATTTTTGGAATGCGTTTTGTTTACCTAAATTATATCGTTTTTTTCACTTTTATAAATATATTCCTAAAGTAAGGGTCTATTTATACTCCCTTAGTATTAGTATTTGTATTAGTATTATGATTAAGCATTAAATTTGTTAAATCATTAAAAAAAGGTATTTATACTCGTTTTATAATTAGTATTAGTAATTCTTTTTTAAACCTAATACCTAATAAGATATAATTCTGCAGTCAACAAAATATATGGTTACTGAAGAAATGTGTAAGAGGCCGGTTGTGTTCTTTTAAGATATTTGAGTTTTAAATGTGTTTTTATTAATAGTTTTACTAGTTAATTTTATTTAAAAATATTAATATTCAAAAATAGGTTTAATTAAGGACATTTTAACGGATTTAAGTTTCAAATTTATAACAGATAAAAAGAAGCAGAAATATGATACAAATCAGACAGAAAAGAGGCCTTTGCTTCCTCGTGGTGACATGTCATTTGTCAACTTTATAATCGGTAAACACTGCTGATACACATACATACATATATACATAGCATGATTTGTACCGAAATATCGTTTTCGAGCTTGTTGGACAAACATATAAACAACATAATCATGTGTGTATTGTCAATTATCCTTATCCGTTGTCTATTAAAAACAAAGGCCAAATACGCTATTGATTCATTTTATAGAAAAGAAGAAATTTAATATTTAATTTAAAAGTTGAATCTGTCAATTATTAAGCATAAATATTAATGCTAATACTAATCATAAATCGAGTATATATGTCCCCATTACATTGTGAAGGTTCAACTTAATGCTTAATCATAATACTAATGCAAATACTAATAATAAGGGAGTATAAATAGACCCTAAGTAGATAGCATGTATCAAATATACAATCGTTTAGTTACCAATTATATACCTTTAAACTATTTTTTATGACCTGTAAACAATATTTTGAAATAAAATAAAAATAGTAAAAACGTATATGTCAAATTTATTGATGTTTTTGTTAAAAGTTTGGTTAGAATTAAATGTCAGTCGAACCAAAATGACATCACACTGAACTAGCGCATTGAGCTTAAAAACCGTACTAGATACCTAGCTGTTAATGTAGTACAGCTGATTATACCCGTGAAATTAGGTGAAAAACCGTACGTATCTGCGACTCGTACGGCTTTTCATCTCAATTACAAAATAATGGTCAGTTGGAAAAACACAAATACTGAAAATGAAAATTACATAACTGAGATAACAGTTTTGATATTGTATTTTTCCTCCTTTTTGAATAAATATAAAATAAATCTTTTCTCATCGACAGACTTTCTGTCTCAACTGTCAAAGGTGCTACTTTCTGTTCTTAATACACAAATAGCTATTTTGTCTTTTATTCCAAAATATTCTTTACAAAATATCAGTTATCTTATAACACTAAATAAATCTATTGAGCAGATTCTTCACCAAGAGTGTTTGTAGGAGTAATCATGATAGTAAAATGACATTCGAAATGTCACAAAAGAAACTTCCTTTAGTGTTTTTTCTATTCGGACAAATTAGAAATAAAGTATCTCTTGATAATCTTAAGCTAATGTGTTTTAGCCTTGTCCAGATATTATAAAATCATTGCTGATTACTGTCCTAAATGAGTTATTATATCATTACACAAATAATTCTAAAAATAGGTGTCGTGACATGCAACCCCAATGGTATGTAATAGAAAGATCATATTTGTATATTTATGTATCTGAAATAAAATTGTTCTGTTTTTAATAGCTTTTTATTTCATAAAAAAAAGGTAGCCCGGCAATACAATTATTCTTTTTTCGACCTGTAATAAAGGTTTTCAAACAGTACCCATGTAAAAATAATAATAAATGGCTTTATATTTTTACTTGCTCTTTGCTCTTCATGTATTTAAAAAAATATATATAATAAAATACTAACAAAAATGTTCTTCCACTTTGAGCTACCTACTATTTTAATCTATAAGAAAAAATATAAAATGACTTTTTGAATGTCCTGTATAAATTGAATATGTTTTCTTTAAATTTAGCTTTGATTCTGAAGACCCATAGATTATTGATTTGGTCATTAAATAATTTTTACTAAAAATATATGTAAACCCTCCCGAAACACTACGTCAATGTGCGACGTACGATTCCCCTTTCCCCGTCTAGTAAAACATGCGGACAGAAGGTGTATTGGGTATACAGTGTGTAGGGCGAGTCTATCTTAGATAATATGATGTCTATGGTAAATTCCAGTAAAGAAGAATTCTACGAAATGATGCGTTTGTCAACGATCAAAGCACAGATGCCTAGATTTTAATGAATGTAGTGATTAAAATTTTGTATACTAGATGGGACTGTCTTAGTGACAGCTCGAACAAATTTCTGTCTAAAAATTTTGAGCGCAAGGCTGCAGAAAATGCCTCCATTTTGTTTATTTTCTTATGTGAAAAGTGTAGTGTCGGCATTGCGGTAAATCGTCATTTAATAAGTTCAATGGTCGCAGAATAAACAAAAAATTTCATACAAGTTGCAAAATATAATCGTATATATGTTCCTTGTGCGTTTCCCTCGTCCAGAGGGTTTAAAAAATAGCAGACATTGGGCGCATCGCGAGTAAGCACTTTGTCAAATTGACTACTGTGTCCGGCACTAAATATAATCCGCAAAATACAGCAAATAATAATAACTCTCTCCAACGTGGTGTCGTGACAGACAAAGAAGGTTTTCTACATTTAAAAAAAAGTAAAAGCGTTTTCGGCACCGTTGGCAAAGATAAAACTGCGCCCCTTTTATCGTCACCCCCAATTATGAACCACGTGACAGGTCACTATCGCCGAAACGAAGATAATCCCCAAAATCAGAACGTAAATGATATAGAGGATATGGAAACTCAAGAAGGTAAGTTTTAACTTTAAAAAGTCATCCCGGACAGCCATGACAGTTCCATTTTCCATCTGACACATGACAAAAGGTTTTCAACCTACACCAATTTTTTAAGTCCAAAGAAAGAACTGTTGTTTGCTTTGTAACAATGGTCTTAAAATAAAGTATTTATGTAGTGACTACAATGGAATACATCACAGATAATGGTGCAGCAGAGATGGATCAAACCCAAAATGGAGAGATCATAGTTGGTCCACAACCTGATCCCAATGTGCTTGTCCAAGATGCTGAAATGGAAGAGGACGAGGCTCGCTCAGAGGCTACATTCCGTTTCACTGTTCACAGTTTCAGCAAATTAAAGGTAAGCAAAACCTTTCAAAGGTTATTTCACCTTTCCATGACCCCAAAAGTGACATGCATTATTTTTGTTTTTATTTATACACACAACTCCTTCAGAATTTGTTATTCTTGATTGAGGTACAAGAAAATTATATTTTTTCCCAAAAGGTACTAGGAAAATGAGTTTTATTGATATTGTTACTAAACCAAGATTCTTTTTATGATATATTTTCTTTTGTTTACATTTTTATTAATTTTTATTGCTACCATTAATATTCCTAAATATTTAATTACTTCACTGCAATTTTAGCTATTTTATTTATATATTTACAGTTACCATAGGACTCTACATTAGGGGCCTTGTTTTTTTATTATATTCTCATCATATATACAAAAGTTGCTATGATTTGGGCCTTGATCGACTAGCGCCTTGAATATGAATAGTAGTATCTTTGGATTGATTTATTAAGTTTTACAGAATGCCTTGATAGTCTGAGGATCTCCTTTACATGTACATCCTCTACAAAGTTGCAAAAATTATTTTATTACAATACTTCCAAGCTCATATACATTTTAGATATTTTTGTGTGTATGTAAATTAAATATGCATTATGCATATTTACCAAATTCCAATTGTGATATATATGTCCTTCAGGAATTAACTAATTAATTAAAAAGTTAATTGGATTATTATTTCATATTTTAGATTAGTTATAAAGGTTTTAAAATTTATATGTAGATACGTATTTAATATTATTATTTATTATATACCTTAAATATTTTTGATGATTTATTACTTAAATTCCCTATCAATGAATAACTAAAAATAAATGTCATTATCAATGAGTTTATTCCTTATCATCAACATCTCAAATTTGTAAAATTAAAAAATTTATTAACCTAAGTTGGCCAAACTGTAGGTGTATTTTTAATTTTAACTCTATATATCACATTCTTTCAACTGTAGATAAATAAATAACTTGTTTTTTAATGACTTGGTTATCTACACAAATTCATAAATACTGCTCTAATCCACCAAATGTACAATGTATTTTAATGTTTTAATTCATCTCAAAACAAAAATACAAGTTATTTCTTTCTACAGTGTGTCCTAAAAAGTTTTATACAAATTGAAAAAATTTACATTTGTGGAAAAAATATATCCCTTTGGAAATCCATCAAATTTGTAAAGTGTTGATATCGAATTGTTAATCAAATTTCAATATAAAGCAAATTATTGATTGAAAATATGAAAATCTGAATCATTGAACTTGTTTTCAATCCCTTCAGGATATCTGTTGGAAAGAAGTGCGTCCTGTTAGCTGTACATGGGAAAGCATATCTGGTAATTATAACATACCAGTATGACAGCTGTCCTAAGTGGGTTAAGTGATATCAAATTACTTTATTTAATAAATAATCCTATTCAAAAAAAATTTCCATTTGTATTAAGGCTTTGGAACACTGTGTGATGGGTTGAATTGTTTAACAAAAAAATATTGATAAAAATATACTTCACTTGGAAATTCATAGTCAAGCATCAAAATTATATAGTAATAATATTATAATGTTAATCAAATTTCAATGTAAAGCAAAATATTAATTGAAAATATATATCATTGAACTTGTTTTAGAGTGATAACAAATTATCATGAAAATCAATTAAGTTTATCTCATGATTAACTTTGTCAAATGCCTTGGAGAAGTCTATATATTGTTAAGATGAATACTAGTGATTTTTTGAGGGAGTTTATTCAATATTTTTTCAAGGGACAGATTTTAGTGCCGACTTACATAAGTAGCAATATAAAAACTACTGTCCATTTTGTCATAAAAATTAAAAGTCTTTGCATTACTGTTTTTTCTATTGTTTCCTGTAACATAAAAGGGATATATTGATGAAATATCATGTAGGAAAAGTTGAAACATTCTTCTAACAATGAAAAATTATGTAATAATTAATATTTTAGAAAAAGTAGTCTGAAGACTTTTATAAACCATGAGTTCACAGTTTAAAAAACACAAATTTTTTAAAATACAATTCTTCTTTTGCAGCGTTTCCATAAATGAGAATTATTTTATTACCATGCATTCATCTTTATCTATTTCATGGTGATTTTGAGCAGTTACTGATTGTATATAATAGTAATGTTTAATGTTTATTTAAATAATGGTACTTTTTTTAACATTTTATACAATATTTTATCAAAAATTTTAAAGAGCATAAAAAATACATATATTTTCACAAATTATTCAAAATAAACATGATTACAAGCCCATATTAACATTACTTTGTGCATGGGTGTACACCATTTTTTAAATATCAGGTAGGGTATTAAATACTTTATTAGCTATATAATTTATAGCTCTTTGGCCAAAAATGTGTTAACATTGAGAGATAAGCAATAGTTATTATATTTGAAAACATTATTTTTAATAACTTTATGAAAATGGCAGCAAAACATGTACACCAACAGTGGTTATCTCAAATAAAAGCTTTTGTTGAAACATTAAAGTTCCTTAATATAGGTATCTAACCTTTAAAGAGTTAGCTTGTAAGTAACAGAAGAAATCAAGAAAGCTTAACAATGAAAAAGGATTGTTCAAAAGATTTAGGGTTTTACATAAATCCCAGTAAAGGAACTTAATTATCTGTAACATGAGAAAGAATGTCTTGCTGATAAACCAATTAGTAGATAGATGTTTCCTGTGGGTCCAACATGATATTAATGATTTGATGATATGATATTAATTATTTATTTATCTATAATATGTACAATAAAATATTCTTTATAATTCTATTATGCTGCTTATTATTCATGCAAAACCGTTTCAGATAGTACTTAATAGATAGGTATAGTAAAATTAAAATTATTTTATTCTTATTCCTTTTTAAAACCTTGATTATATGTGATAGAAATGAAAATGAATGCTGAGCAAAGTATTCAAGTATTTTTCTTTTCTATGTAGCTGTATATTAATTCTAAAACATGTAATAATTAATTTTTATTAAATTAAATAGTAAATCGTTGTTCACTTTGTAATATCTGCTGTGAGAAAAATATTTTGTGAATGTTGACACATAACTGTGTTTTATTATTTGATTTATAAATTCAACTGATTTTTTTTTTAGCACATATCAGATATTACCAACCAATGCACGAACGTTAATATAGCTCAAATACAACCAAACCTAAAATTCGCCATTAAACAGGTATTGCACAATCAACGACGAAATGTAATTTACAACTAAAACCAAAATCTAAAATTTTACTATTTTAAAAGGTTTTTGTCTAATTCGTCTCTGGACATGTTTTTCCCTTCTTTGATTTTGTTTATGCTTTAACTCACAGTAAGTGCAATTTACAGGAACAAAAATACTTATATGGCTATTATTATCAACCTGATTTGTGTCTTTAAGAAAATGGATTAACTATTATTGAAAGAGATAACAAAATCAAATAATTCATCCTTCCATGTTCATTAGTTTTTTTTTTTAATGCCAAACATTTTTAAATAATTAGCACCTAATATTTTTTATGGTAATGGTAATCATAAAACTAAATATTTTTTGTGCTAATTTTCACTTTCTTTTTGCTATTTTATTCATTGTTTTTATTGATTTTTTTTTATAAATAAATCAGATACAAAATTGTTATTAGATTATACCAGCGTTATTCAAAGTGTGGTTCGCGGAGTCCTCGGGCTCCGCAAAGCCTTTGTGGGGGCTCCGCGAAGAAAATAATAGTCCTAATAAAAAACAGCTGTATTATCGCTACAAAAGGGAGGGTCTTGGCTTGAGGACCTTTTTTTTTTTAGAATTGTAGAAGTTACTAAAAGAAAGGGGAGGATATGATTTTGCTTGGAGGACTTTTTTTTGTGGGGACTCTTCAAAAAAAAAGTTTTTTTTTTTTTTTTTTTTTTTAGAATCACTAAAATCACCAAGAAAGTTTGAGAATCACTGGATTATACTATATTTTAATTATTGCATTAATTAATAAATCTGATAAATCCTTAATAATAAAAAAAATTAACTCTTTGTATATCCCTTGTACTTTCTCATGTTGTTTATTGGAATCATTTATGTCTTTTAAAAGAGTTTTACAATTTTTCTTGTGAAAAACATTGTATTACAAAATGAATGACTAACAAAATGCAGGAGATTACTAAAATATTATTTTCTGTTAATTTTTTTTACTGATTTAACCATGGACAAGTTTTCCCACATCAAACAAGTATAATCTCAATTTTAATATTCCTATTTATCTCTTCAAAATTGTTAATTCTTTATTTTTCAATAACTGCCACCTATGTGAATAGACCTATAACCCTTCTAATCAAAGCTAATGTACAATAATCTTTTTTTGTGTTAAAACTATTAGAGATAATTATTTTAACAGAAAGTCATTCATAGCTAATAAAATTAATACTTTAAGATATAACAGAATTTTACCTTTTTTATTATCATGATAATTGAATTGGAATTATCCTAGTTATATACTTTGAACCTTTACAAATAACAGAAAAAAAAAACATTAAAAAGGAAAATTCCATCTATGGTTATGGTAGGAACATTTTTGTTTCTTTCTTGAAACCCCATTAGGAATTAATAACCCAAAAATAAAATTGACCAAATACCAGGGAAATAAAAAATATGAAGTTATTTTGAAAACTTGTTTATAAAAAATTGACGAGAACAATTTGTTGAACTGATTAGATTGATTAGCAAGGCGCAATTTAGTTTTCCCAGCAGGCACTGGATTTAACCAGTTTTGGTAATTAAAAATGACTTGACCAACGACCTACAAATTTATAAATAGAAACAGATGAGATGTCTATTATCAATCACACAGGAAGGTAGGTAATGGACTCTAACAGGATTAAGGATGCTCGGTGCTCACAAAGGTCAGAGTATGAAAGGTTTTACTTAATTACGTACATTTATAGCATTAAACTTTATAAATATGTTTAAAACTGCCAGAAGCAGATGCTTTTGTATTAAAAATTCAATAACTAGCTGTT